CAAGTCAAACTCATGTGCCTTATGTGTTTGTCTTTATTTGAAACTACAGCTTAGGGTGTCATGCATTTCAACATGATTTTAAAAGCTGGTTCTATTTTTTGGAGCAAGGATTATTTAACTTTCTTCTTTCCCTTCCCCTTTTTCCTTATCTTCCCTCCTCCTCTCCTCTCCTTTTTTTTCCTTCTTCTGTCTTTCTGCCTTTATGCCTCAGGGGCAAGAGACCATTTTTCACTCTTTTCTTTTTCTAGGTTCTACCAGAGAAACAAATTGTAGGGGTTTTTTTATTTAATAAGAAAAAAAAAAAAAAGGAAAGGAGTTAGGTAGTTTGAACTTGATAATAGCAACATTAAGAATCACTCATTGTTTATGTTGTAAAGAAGCATTTAAATGTTAGGGGCCTAGTTTTATTTCCAAAAATGATGTCCCATTCACTTAAATTGGGGTAGCATATTGCAAGTTACTAATGAAGACTGTTGCTACTAACAAGACGTAAAGGAATTGTGCATTGATCAGCTTTTACAAATGGGCATGCACAATTCATATTTGAATTGGTATGTGTATAAATTTGTTTAGTTTTGTTACTATCCATTTGACTTTTATGAGTTGTTTGATGTTAAAGGTTTACATATTTGCATCATGAGCAGTTTGGACCTAGATAACTCAATTTACTTTTTTAAAAAATAATTTTTTAAGATTTATTTTTCTTTCATATATCGTTCTCTAAGGGGGTCATAGAATATTAAACGTTTTCATTTTTCATATTAATCTGCCTTTGGAGAAACTTGATTATTTCCCTTTTCTGGTACTTGTTCTTGATGTTACTTATTTCTCAATTGATCTGACAAAGGACTCTAATTTGGTGTTCTTATCCCTAAAATACAGCTAAATCCTTTGTTCCCCCTTCAACACATGGAAGTGACATGTTTTTACTCTGCTGGGTGTTTCTTGACACATGGGGCTACATTTCTAAGCTTAAGTTACTATCAGCAGCTCAAGAATGATCTCTAGCTACAGAATTTAACATAATGATGTGATGAAAGTGATTTCTCTGAGGACCTGTTGAAATTTAAAATAGTTTATGGTTATTTTTTTAATAACCAGTGATTATTATTACTAAGGTAGATGAAGTGATTTTTAACATGTTATTTGAGGACCATTCTATTTGCTCTTTTAAAAATACCACTTTGACTTTTATTTGGAAATGTTGAAAATAAGTAGTTGATTTTTATTAATGACTTTGGTAATGTTTCTTCCAAAAGTTGTATCTGTTATAATGATCTTTCTTTAGAAAGTGCTCTTTTTAAAGCATTTTAAAAAAATACTTAGTTCACACTGATCAGGCTGTCATCACTTTCAGCAGTTATGTATGCTCTTTTTACTTGAGTTGTCAGGATTATTACAACTTATCACTAGCCATGGGGGCATACTTTTTTCTGAAAATAATTATAATGAAAAATCAATGTTAATGCTACTTCAGTGGTGAACGTATTGTATTTTACTTAAACCTTTCTTATGGTAGAATTATCTTGACCCTAATTTTGTGTGAAGTGGCTGTGAAAAATGAGTACTGGCTGATTTAACTGCAATATTAGGTTTCGAAAAATTAGATATGAGGTGCATCGTGTTTGACGAACTGATGGTTGTATTTGTTTAGATACAGAGAAAGCAGGTAAAACTGAGTTTTTTGGATGAAATGAAGTACATTCTCAAGAAAGAAAATATCGTATAGGCAATTACCATTAAATTATAAAGAGGTCAAGGCAGAGGTATATAGAATATGCCAGTGTTACAGTTGCCCCGTTCATTTATAAAAAAGCCAATATGATAATTATGAAGCTAAAATTTAGTTCAAGAATTGTTGAGTGAAGCTGAAAGTACTTCTGGCTATGAGCAGTCTGCACTACTTTCATCTCGAATACATCATTTGCTGTACATGTCTGTGGTTTAGAAGTGAACATTGTCCTGATAATGAGGTAAGGCCAAGGAGGTAGGAAGCATAAACCTTCAGGTTTATGTAAGTCTCCTATCTCAGTAACTGGTGTAACTGGACGCTAAGGTTTTTGGCTTTCCTCAGGCTTCTCTGCTACTTATTTGGTAGTTGCTTATGTCATCCTACAGCGTAAGGAAATTGTGGCCCAGAGAGGAAAAGTCACACAAAGTCATTTGTTGAAACTGGGACAGGAGCTCAAGAACTGGGACAAGAACTTATTTTCTGCCCTAATAAATAGGGTGGTAATTGGGGGAAGAATTTCCTATTTTGATGTGATTTCCTAAATCATAAATTAGTAATTGTTGAGAGACAGAATAAATGTGAAAGCAAAATGAGCACAAAATATTAGTTCTTAAGGATATTGAAAATGTAATTTGTTTTGGATAGTATGAAATAATAATTATAGTTAACAATTTTTATGCTTAATTCTGGGCCAGATAACTGTTTTCCTTACATTATCTCATTTAATTTTTGTAACAGCCTTTTGAGAGGTAGGTATTATTACTGTTATATAGATGGAAAAACTGAGGCTATAATATTGAACTGATAGTAAGTAGCAGAACTGGTAATCAAATTTCTATCTGCCTGACTCTAAGCCCAGTTTGTGAACTATTGCATGATATGCTTATGGCTTTCTTTTCAACTTAACATGCTTTTTCTAAGAGGAAGTAGGGTATGAGAAAACCCATCCAAAGCTTGTTCCTTCTGTAGATCCCTTTTGATTTTTTTTTAAAGTGTTTTGAATTGTAATCACTTCAGTATTATAAATTTCCAACAATTGGGAAAGTACATAGTGATTATTCACTCCCTCTAAAAATTAGTGAAATATAGTCTAGTAGCATCTAGCCTTAACCTTTTATTTTATTTTTAAACAGAAACATTGTTCCCTTCATCTTGAGAGATTACAAGAATCACAAAAGGTCACTATACAGATATCACAGGTTAGAGAGATTGTACCCTTTTCTGGATAAAGAGCATAAATCCATTGGCACAGGCCTTATATATAAGGAGGGGTTGGAATTGACTTTATTTAGATGAACTAAAGCACATTCCCACATACCCTATTCCTCTAATGAGTGAAGTGACAGCTATCAAGTATTATAATTAACATCCTATTCTTTTGAAGAGTGAAGGGAACCGGAGAAAGCAGGTAGCTATGCAGCCTTTTGACTGCTTTCTAGAATCATTTTTGACATTATATGAAAGTTTGTTGGTGGAATAGAAAAGTTACCAGTGAAAACAGCAGGTTTTCTATGTTGTGCTCTGAAACGGGTTGCCACAGAAACAGTAAAATAAATGTAAAGTTAACTAATGAAGACAAACTTCAGGAACTGATAGAATTACAGATCTTCTGCTTATTTCCTTGGACACAAAGTTTGCCATTTTAGAATTATCTTTTTTTAAATCTGCATTTAAGTTGATCTGTTATTTAGTTTGGAACTAGATGGTTCTTTAAACCTTGTCTATAATTTGTTTCTAAATGGGGTTCTTTGGTCCAAATGAAAAGAAGATCCAAAGATCTGTGCTCTTTGTTGCTCTGATAGAAAATGTTTATTGTGTATTGTAAATTAATAAATATAAATATGCATAAGTATATATGAACACATAGCCTTTTAAAAGTGCTTTGGAAATGCCCAGAAGTAAAAATCATAGTTGTGATCTTCAGAGAGTTTAAATGTAGTTAGAGAGAAGTTTACTCCTTTTTTAACCAGGCAAACTTAGATGTTCTCTAAACTAATTGTTTCTCAATTGCTTAGCTTTTTTATGAGAGAAGATAGAATCTCTCCCTGATAATCAGAGAAAATGTTCCATGTCTCTCTGGCCATATGTTCGTCTTTTTTATTTTAGAATTATCTCATGTGTTGTAGCCTGGTTTCCTCTTCAGTTAATTTTTTTCTGACTAGTTTTGAAATTAAAGAGGATTTCTACAGCTTCTAGTAATGAAATCATAGTTTTCTCTCTCAGTTGTATAATTGGTTACTTGTGCTGAGTTTGGTTTGTGTTATTCCTTGGAATTTCTTTACAGATTAGTTCTTAAGCTTTCAGAGAAGTTGGATAGACCTCTGGACTTAACAATTTCAAGAAGCTTAATGAGAAAGTGTCAGGTGGAAGCATGCCTGAAAGTTACCCCTTTCCCTCATAGTTTTTTTCTTGAGATTTGGGGACTTATTTTATTTACTTGTATACATCATGCTGTAAGTAGCCACACATTTATTTTAAAATTCCATTCCAAAATTACCTTGTGCCCTTTGTTTTATTTGCATTTTACCTCTTTGACTATGGTCTAATTAATTTAAATATTCCATTCTGGCCATGAATGTTTAAACCAGTACACATTGGCCTTTTCATTTAGACAAACATTTATTTAAATCCACATACAAATACTTATGTTGTTTTTTTAAATTCACTTGAACCACCTACAAAGTTGGAAAATAAGTTACAGCTTTTTAATGTTACTCAACTAACTTTTTAAGTAGCTGGTCAGAAAGATGGCTGTTCCTATTTTTGGTAATTGGTGCTGGCCGTAAAGTAACCTTATAGGGTTATAGAACTCTCACCATTGGTTACAGAAAACTAGTTTCTGGCAGTTGCTGATATAAGCACACCAGATTTTTTCTGCTGTTTGTGTTTTGATGTAAAAGCACTTTAATAAAAATAAAAATTAGTATTTGAAGTTTTAAGCCACTGAGCATACTTCTTGATGTGCTGTTAAGTGTGGTCATTGCTGCCTACTTTGTAAAGATTGAAAATGATTTGTCCTTTTCCCAGTTTTCTTCCCTTTAGATGACAACAGAGAATGAGCAAATCCAGAGCAAAGGAAAGAGTAGATTACAGAGTTTAGGTAGTTAATCCTTATAGTTCTGTTGGTATGAAAGAGACGGATTAGTTATTGCATGTACACACATAATTTTTAGATGTATGAGCATTTTTTAGAGATATTTATTGATTGGATTAGGTGTGTTCTCCAAATACACAAACCTAATTTATCAAATGGCTTTTCCCCCCCTAGTTCTGTAGAAAATGTTCTCAAAACACTCGTGAAAAGCTGCCGACCGTAAGTAGCTTCTCAATTTATAAAACCTCTTTTATTTCTGTGGGTTTTTCCCCGTCCCTAGTATGCTTTGAAGAGGAAATTAAAGGTATAAAACGTTTCTAACATTGTGATGTTAGTCACTGGGCACAATATATCATTTCCAACTCTTGAACTGAATTATTTAGATTTCATTTATAAATTTAGAAATTTTTAAGTGGTGTGGGTGTCAGTTACCTATTATAAAGTAAGAATGCCATAATTTATGTATAATTGTCTTTATTTGAAAGATTTTCCTAGAGTATCATTACTCAGATCAAAAATATTTTCCAAAATGAGTATCGTAGGTATTACATTAAAATGTGAGTAATAATAAGAAGGTGTTCAGACATTTTTTTTGAAATATGTTCTCTTTCAGTAGAACATACAGAAATATTCCATATTCTGATGTTTAAAGATGAATATGGGTTGAATTTCGTTTTAATCAATTGAAGTCCAATTCTGTGGACTTGAGGCCCCTGACTAGCTCAGTCGGTAGAGCATGGACTCTTGATCTTGAGGTTAGGAGTTTGAGCCCCATGTTGGGCGTAGAGCTTAATAAAATGAAATAAAATAAAATAAAATAAATAAAAACCCAATTCTGTGGACTTGACAATTACTAGGCTGTTCTAAGACTGCTTATCCTGCTATGTATGGATGCAGTGAGTTCTTTTGAATGGAAATCCCTATTTTATCATATTCTTATGAGTTAAAGTTATAAATGGTTTTATAAATCACGTATTTGTTGCTGACCTACTATATTCTCAGTCTTGGGCAAATAATATTTTTTCATAGACTCGTAGAATGTTAGCACCTGTAGGAAGACCGTCTAGTCTAGTCCACTCTTGTATACAAGAGAGCTCTGTGGTACACTGAGAATAAATGGTTGGTCCAAACATGCCTAGGCTAATGTTCTCTTTTTCCTTTCACTGATTATCCATTTCTTATATAGACTGGATTCTCTGTGACTAGATTTTTTTCCTATTGCTATTACATAGCACACAGGGAGGGAAAAAAATAAAACAACCATGTATAAATTTGTAGGTTATTTAAGTGACTTTGTATTTTATGAGTTTATCAGCTTTATAGCATTTTTCTAAGTCCTTTAGACGAGAAAAAAATTTACCTTTAAGTGTGACAAGGTATTTATTTTAGAGTTGCAAAAATGTGTTTAAGTTAACTTGACATTTGTAGTGTATGTTGTACCTTATGAAATCCATTTCCCACCTCCCCTTTTTTTGTTGGTTAGATGTTGATGTTGTAGAGCTTTTAGCCAATGATCAGGTAAATGAATACCTTCTTTTTTATTAGATACTTTCCAGCAGATGCCACAGCTGAGATGCTAGAAGAATGGCGGCCTTTAATGTGCCCTTTTGATGTAACAATGCAAAAGGCCATCACTTATTTTGAAATATTTCTTCCTACCTCCCTTCCTCCACAACTTCATCATAAAGGTTTTAAGTAAGTATATACATATCTTGACAAATTATAGAATAGAGCAAGATATGGAGATATATAAGCCAATTCATAAAGCAATAATAAGTAAACAAAAATTTACTAACTCAACCATTGTATTGATTATACTTGAAGTGTGTGGAGGCTGAAACAGTTAAGCATAAGATTGTAAATGAGGAGAGACTAATGCTTGTATGTCAAGCCAAATACGATATGAGGGCTTTACAGGGTGCCTAGCTGGCTCAATTGGTGGAGCATGTGATTCTTTATCTTGGGCTTGTGAGTTTGAGCCCCATGTTGGGTGTAGAGATTACTTAAAAGGAAAAGTAAAGATAAGGGCTTTAATTTAAGAAATCAAGAGAGAAAGAATTAAAAATGCAAAAAAGTAGAAAATATCAGTAAGTAGGCAGTGATAAGAAATGTTAAATTGTGTGGAGTTTAGGGAAAGGAAAAGTGTTTTCCTAAAACTTGGTTTTATTCATCACTTGTAGTTTTTCTTAGGTCTTTTTTATAATTCTTATTCTCTACTCATTCTAGTCTTTGCACTTTTTTTTTTTTTAAAGATTTTTTATTTATTCATTTATTTGAGAGAGTGAGAGAGAGAGAGCACATGAGAGGGGGGAAGGTCAGAGGGAGAAGCAGACTCCCTGCCGAGCAGGGA